ACGGCGAGGCCGGGGCGGGGGTGCGGGCAGCGTGCACGGGCCAGCTCTGCCCCTGGCGCGTCCCGGGCGACGTCGTCAACCTCGGAAACGCCGGCGCCCGCAGGACTAGCGAGATGCCCCCGATTCCTGGAGAAGTCACGTGAAGGGTGTGCGGACCGAGTCTCACAGGGTGGCAGTTGTGTTTGCGGGGTCTCGTGGAGTCTCGTTAGCAGGGCAAGGGTCAGGTCCCTTCCTGCGCTGTGCGGCCTGCTTAGCGCTCTTGATTTGCGTTTACAGTTCATACAAGACCTGGTTTCCAGGGACCGTAGTGCCAGGGGAGATGGTCGGGCTCTGGATGACCGTACCGTTTTCTTTGTAACAAGGTAGCTGTTATGATGAGTGAAGAGGAGACGCCCCGTGGACAGAATCCTACCCGAGAGACAACTTTGTGACTTGAACCCTCTCGCCTGCGCGTCGGATCAGAGGCAGAACAGTCCCAGAAAGGAAGAGATCCTAAGTTTAAGTGGCCAGGCAATTGTTGATGCTTCTGCCCAGAGTGACTGAGATTGGGGTGGTGCTACCTCCTCCAGAAGTTGTCAAAGACGGGGCGATATTGGAAGGTTTGGACTGATTTGTAGAAGACAACCTGAGCTAGGCTGAGAAGGGGTGGGCAAAGAAAGGCCTAAGGAAATGGGACTTATTGGAGAGGTCCTGAGGGAATGGTCTCGGGTCAGAGGGAGTGGAGGGACCTGTCACAGCTGAGAGAATCTGTCTACAGTGCTTCCTAATCGATCCCATTCCTTCACACCCCCCACCACGTCGTTTCTGTTATCTGATCTCTCTCAAACCTGGTCATATCAGATATCAGTATATATAGAGGTGTGCTGATGCGTCCTCTTCCTGGTCGTATTTCTCCCTTGTAAGAAAGATTGGGGGTGGGGGGGCCGAGGGGAGATTTGAGGATATAAGTAATTTGCCAGGTTCACATGATTTTACTATATACATCAGGCATCTTGACTTTTGGATAGTATTATCCACTCTGCCACAGTTAAGCCAAAACACGAGCTTATTTTTGAAAAACACAGTCAATTCAGAAGAAACTGTTTTTAGAAGACCTTGCCTTAACATGCCTATCCTATTCTCCCTAGTGCTTTTTGTGCATTATGTGAATTCCAGGGACTAATAAAACAAGTGGTTCCCACTTCACATCAGAAATCTGTTCTTGATAATCGTATCTTCTACAGCACAATAACAGAAGCCTATTTTCCACTGTTTAAAATAGGAAAATTAGAGTGCATCACATTTCACTCTAATTGGCTTCAAACTGATTTTTTAAAATGTGAATAAAACGCAGCACATGTCACCATATGTTTAACAGACTCGTGTTATAATGTAAAACAGTTAAAACAGTTTTCTGATCTGCACACTGTTGCTTTGTACAATTGGCATGATCTGTTAGTTCCAGCAACCTTACTGAAAGCACCCAGTTGGCATTTGTTATGCTTTTCAGAAGTTCTACATGTGGTTGTGAAGTTCTGTTGATTGTGTGTGGCACATAATGTAACTCAAGACTTTCTCCCCCATGTCATTTTGTTAAAAATATTTTACTCTGTGATGAACCAACCTAAATTCACTGGCTTAAAAAAAAACAGTAAAAAGAAATATGCTCAGAGGTCTATGTTTCAGCTTTCTGGGCTCAGTTTAGTTGGTCAATTCCTGTGCCAGGGCTGTCTGGGTCACACATGAGGCTGTAGCCGCCTGTTGCCGCTTGGTGTCCTGACTGAGGCTGGTTGGTTGAAGATGACTTCCTTTACTTCTTCAGGGGCTTGTGCTGGCTGTTGGCTAAACTGCCTGTCCCTCACAGGCTAGCCCCAGGTTTCTTCACAAGATGACAGTGTTCCCAGAAGGCAGGCTCTAATTGACAAGTGCTTTTTATCCTATGTTTGCATCGTATGTCCTTTGGCAGGAGCAAGTTAAATGGCGAGACACACGTCATTGTCATTGGGAACTTCACAGGGAAATAATTAGGGGGAAGTAACCATTGTTTAAATAAACAACTGTTATTTAAGCATCTTTAAAAGTTTAAGTTGATTTTTACCATTAACTGTTGATAAATCAGTAAGAAACATGTGCTTTCATTAACTTAAGGATAAATTGTGGATCTTACTTCTACAAACTAATAGACCTGTGGGTGCTCCTTCAATAGGGTCTTTCCTGCCCCTTCTCAAGGTGTAAATATTTTTGTCCCACAGGAGGCACACTAGCCATCTCCTCACCCCCACCCCCAACCCAGTCTATCTGGTCTTTTCTAGTTACTGTTACAGAGCTTTAGCAGGAGAATCTAAGAGCAAGCCACACCAGTTCTTTGATGACACTGCTCCATTTGCCTTCTCTCCCAGCTCTATTTCTAGACTCCTCTGTGCATCTCTAAGAGCAGCAGGAAATGAATACATCTCAGGTGAGCTGATTTTTTTTCCTTCAGCTTATTTTGTATTTTGCTGTATGAGCTTTATGAGGGTCCTTAAACTAAAATGGAAAAGTAAAATTTAGCTTCAGGGCAATATACATAAACAAAATGAAGGTGGCATGTGGATAGGCAGGTAATATGAGCTTAGAGTCATCCAAGGTAAGTGCAGTCACAGATACAGTTGTTACCTGATTGGAACGGACCCTCAGAAGAAAGCATGCTGCATCCTCTTGGGACATGAGAACTTATAGACACAGAAATCTGAAACAGTGTCTTCATTGTCACATAGATGATGGAGTGGATAGTGTTTCACCGCCCATTGGGAAATAAACACTTCATGCATATGCAGTGGTGACCGTTACCTGGTGCTAAAAAAGAACTTGCTTAATAAGGTTTTTCTGGAGTTGCTAAAATAGTTCAGTTCCAGACACCTTTTGGCTAAATCTAAGAATGTGTTGTTTATTAGGATAATTTTACATTAATTTACTGACTCAGGGAGAACTGATATCTTTATGATGTAGCCTCTTCCTGTCCATGAATATGGTATGTTTTTTCATTTATTAAGTTCTTTTGTGTCCTTCAGGTTTTTCACCCCTCACATAGTTTTGTGTGTTTTTTATGTATTGATAGGTGTTTGCTTGTTGTTGTTACAGTAAAAGCATTTTTGTATAAATGCGATTTTTACACATTATGCTTATACTCTGCTAATTTATAGAATTTTCTTATATAACACTATTTTCACATGATTCTCTTGGGTTTTCTAGGTATGGATTATTTGCAGATTATGATCATTTTCATTACTGTCTCTTCTATTGTGTGGACTGTTACCACTCAAATTGTTTTATAACTATGGTGATGCGGCTTCCTTATCCCCCAGTGTTTCCTGATTAAGTGTGATGCTGACTTTCAGAGTAAGACATAGACGTTTTATCATTTTAAGGAAGAATCCCCTGAACCCTCCTTTGTTAAAGGGCTTTGTTACAATTGGGAGCGTATTTTGTAGATCCCTGCTCAGTGTCGATGTGGATGATTGTAGAATTTTCTCCACAGAAATATGAATATGTTGAAATATATTAACAGACTTCTTCATATTGAGGTTTGCTCTATTCCTAGAATCATCTTTAAAAGTTTCTTCTCTGTTGTCATGGTTTGTTTCTCTTTCCCCGTCAGTAAATGGTAATGTTTTCTGGAACACCATCCTGGTTCCTTTTCTCCTTTCAGTCTTTCAGGTTCTCCTTGAGCAGTTTCATTCACTCTGATGGCTTCAGCTACCACTAGAATGTGGCTGTTTCTGAAATCTCATATTGAGCCTATTTCTCTCTCCTGAGCTCTGGATCATATATCCAGTTGCCAGTTGTACATCTTCACATCTTTAACCACAGAAATTTCAAACGTGATACGTCCAAGATCTTTGCTTCTTCTTCCCATCCGCTTCCTTGTCCTTTTCTCCCAAGTTCAACTTACAGTGCCAGTATCTACCTAGCTGGTGAGAAAGTGGGATGCATTCACCCTGAGTGGTTATAAGCAGCTCTTTGGGATGTAGAAAGGAAATACAAGGATGCATGTGTACATACTTTTTTTTAGAAAAATGGTGAGCCCAGAAGATTTTTTATTGATGGAATTAGATCATATACTTAAATGCAGAATACCATTATAATCAGTTCCTTGAATACCATTACTGTCTTTATCTTTCACCGCAGCTTGGGAGCCCCTACCTGGACGTGGTGCTGCTGGTACCTCCATTCATGTGGCATCTGTTATTTATGCCCTTGCAGCTTGACTTCTGCTCTTGCCTCATGTTCACAAGAACATGTGGTTCACGTTGAACAGCTCACATATTTGGCTCTTCAGTGAAATGCAGCCTGATAGCACAAAGTACAACTATTCTTTGTCTCCTTTCATACCCACCTACCTTAAACATTTGTGTAACCTAGTTCATCTCACACACAGGCAAGCATTTGTACTTTTGTCTCCATACCAGGTCACACGCTCCTTTTATCCATAGCAGCAAGGACCCTTCCAGATTTCTAAGGGAAGGTATAGTAGTACTTTTAGGAACTAATGAATTGACACAGACATAGGATATTCCTATGGTGATTTCTTCCTGGCCCACAATATAGAGCACAATGCATGGTGTAGCCTATGTAAGATAAAACACACACAAAAGACATGAATTCCCAGGTTTCCTGTTCTGCTGACCCAGGCCGATGCTGTTAATTGAGGAGAAATTTGCTGTTAAAAGGGCTGGTGCCATTTGAGGATCTGTCTCCGACCTTCACCTGGGAGGAGTGGCAGGACCTGGATGATACTCAGAGGACCCTGTACAGGGGTGTGATGCTGGAGACCTACAGTAGCCTGGTGTCACTGGGTGAGCAGAACTCCCCTGGTAACTGCCAAGTGCATGCACCTTTTCCTTCCTTGGTAAAGGTGCAGTTGTTTATGAAATTAAGTGATGCTTAGTTTCAAGATTCCAGGCCAAGAAGAATGTGTGTTCACCCCTCCAGTCAGGGATTCAGATTGACCCTTCAAGAGTCGTGCTGTTGCCATTCTTCAAAGCCCATGAAACTTAAGCAGTTTGGAAAAACCCTACATTATGTCTCATCAGCAGGGCGTTGCATTACCAAACCTGAGGTGCTCATCAAGTTGGAGCAAGGAGCAGAGCCATGGACTGTAAAAGAGCCCCCAGACTAGAGTTCCCCAGGTCAGTTAGTGCATCCCAGGCAGGGAGGCTGGGAAGAGGAGAACACAGCCGAGGTTGGCCATGCTCAGCTGTTTTCAATCAGTGGTTTCCGGAGTCCAGGCCTTCAGACAGTTTGTCTGCATATATCAGACTCAAGCCTTGTCCAGTGTCCAGGTATGACTCTCACTCGTAAGCCTCCCTTTTCTGTTAATTGCTGAATATTTTCTCAGATTTACGAAAACCCAGTGCCTTCCTGCCTCTTGGAATTTTTCTTGGTTAGTCTCTTTCTCTAGATTCTCATTAGGCCTTCTTTTTGTCCATTCTCACAGACTGTTTTCTTTTGGGCATTTATTCATACATCCATTTATTCTTTTAATATGTTAATTGGGAAGTTTTAGGCACTGGGAATATCTGTAGCTGTTTGGATAACAGCTGTAATGAAAGAAATGTTCTTATTTTGTTGAAAGAGAAAAATGAAACAAATATACATGTTTAATAGTCAAATAAGAGCCACAAAAAGATTGAACCAAGATGAGAGAGAAAAAAATAGAGTGTATTGTTCTCAGAAGGGTGCTCAGAAGCCACATTTAGGGGAGATTCTCAAGTGTTTATGTTGGTAGAGCTTATGTCTGAGATGACTATATTCCATTTTGGCATGTAACTTACATAAAATCTGGAGTAGAGAGTGGATATCACTACTGAAGATGGCAATTAGGAAATCATTAAGTCTAAACTGTTAGGGTTAGAGGAGGTTGCCTAGGGACCTATTAAGAACATGAGAGCAGGGGTCCAAGTGCAAGCCTTGTGAACCTTGACATCACGAATCATGAAGCTGAGGAGGCCCCAGTAGATTGTTTACCATGGAAAGTGGTGATCTCTGACATGGGAGGAAAAAGTAGAGATTTGGGTCCAAGGCCAATAAAACTAACAGTTTCAAGCTGGGGGAGCTCAAACTTTGGAGTGGAGTTTGAAATTAACATTTTTACCTTCTCTTGTGAAGATCACTGTTGGCATTGCAGTATCAGTGTACACACATACACACACACACAGTATGCGGAGAGAGCTGATGGCTATTCTGAAAGTTTATTAAGCTACACAGGCTTATAAAGCAAAAGAGAACAATATGGAAAATGTTTAACTATGGTATGACATTTTATGACTCCCTAGACGCACAGATTGTTTTAAGGTCAGGATTTTAAGATCCTCTGATATTTTTGATAGATTATGCTCGTCATGGAGCCAGTGAGCCTTACATCTTATCAGGGTGGAACATATAGGAAAATAGCTGCTTGATGACATTCTTTCTGACTCAGGCGGCTGTGCCTGTCTTAGGTTCCCCCCCTCTGGGGATCTTACCCGTGATTGGCTAACCAGCCTTCTCACCTCTGAGTCTGCAGCTTTTTATAGCTTGCTTACCATTCCAGCCCAAGGCTCATTCCTTTGTTCACACAACTGGGGGGCTACAATCATTGTTTAAACAAAAAAAAGGAAAGAATGAGAAATACAGATAGGACTCCAGTATCAGTATAACTAGGGGACAGCTGAAACTATAAAGTACAGTGAAGTAAATGTCTTCAGAAGCAGTCAATTATCAAGTAATATCACTGGTTCCATGAAATGAGGTGAAAACCCCAGCCTGTTGATCTCAGAAGGAACCAGAAAACAGCTTTTCGAAGTTGGTGGGCACAGCCTGGGTTGTAAACTTAAATCCTTCAGACCAGCAGGAAGCAGTTGCACAAAGTAATGAACTAGAGTTTCCTGAACCTGTTAGCGTTCTGAGAAGCCAAGGATGTATTGTTAAGTTAGAAATTTAGAGATAGCTTCCTTTCTGGTGTGGAGAAGAGATTAATTAAGCCTTTGAAAAATCCACAGGTGCCTATAGCTGTTCCCCAGAGAGTAGTAAAAAGTAAACAAACATAGGTGTGAAATCCTTGTCCCTAAGCAGTATTCTTGTCTAGGTGACAGACACATGGCCCTCTCCCACATCCTATGAGTAGCCGACCCAGGAAAATCATGCCATCTTCAAAGCTCAGTGATCAGAAAAGGGCTGGCACAAGTTACACACAATTAGACGAAAAAAGGTAGAGAAAATAAACAGGAAACAAATGGTAGATGAAAAGCTCTCAGCTGAAATCTACATCTAGAGAGTGAGTGAATATTTTGATCAAATACTTCTTATGATTTAAAAAGAAGGAAGAAATTTAAGCAAAAAAAAGAAAAGAAAAAACCCCGATGATTTGATATTAGAAAACCTAGTAGTTTGTTACATTAATTCACTAAGGAGAAAAATCATATACTTATAAGGTCAGTATCCATTACTGACTTTTAAAAAATTTTATTCCACTAGGATGGAAAGAAATTTCCTTACCTTTACAAGATCATCCCAGAAGAAGTACTTAGATGTGGTTCACAGGTATGGCTGTGATCATTTTTATCTCCTTCTAGATGTCCACATAATGGGTGACCTGACTGAGACCAGCCAGGAAAATCATGGCAGACCTTTGTGGCAAATTGTAATCAGCAGCAACAAAACATCAACTAAGAGGACAAGTGACTTGGGAAGAACCTTTCATTTGAGTTCAACCCATATTTCAGAACTGCTTGTAGGTGACGGAAACTCCTCAGGAATGAAACCAGAGGAGCTGAATGTGTGTGAGAGCATGTTTCGCCCTAGTGAGCCTGAGGAGAGACATGCTGGAGAGAATCCAGAGGACAGTGATGGAACTGGGAGTTTCCTCAGAGATGTTGAGTGTTCTCATTGTCAGCAGAAGAGTCAAACTTTGCAGCAGCCTTTTGAGTGTAACAGACAAGGGAAAGGCTTCAGGAAGGAGGCAGTACTCCTTACACACAGGAGGGCCCCTGTGGAAGTCACGGCTTACAAACATAGTGAATGCTGGGGAGCCCGTGATGGGTCAGCTCTCATTGCCCAAGGGAGAACTCACATGGGGAGGACCTTTTGTCAGAAAGAAACACCGTTGAATCTTCACAGAGCTGATTTCCAGGAGCAACAGAACCCATGTAATCAAAGTGGGAAGAATTTCAGCAAGAAATCACACCTCATTCAGCTCCAGAGAATTCGGTTAGGAGAGAAAACTTTTGCATGTAAAATATGTGGTAAAACTTTCTATAAAAGGGCAAATCTCACCAGACATCAGAAGATACACACAGGAGAGAAACTGTATAAATGTAGTGAATGTGAGAGAACCTTCATCATCAGTAAAACAGTCCTTAGAGAACATCAGAGAACTCCTACTGGGGAGAAACACTATGCATGTGATGAGTGTGAGAAACCCTTCTGCCGTAAATCAGACCTAACTGTTCACTGGAGAATCCACACAGGAGAAGATCCCTTTGAATGTAGCAAATGTGGGAAATCCTTCTGCCAGAAGTCAGCCCTCACTGCACATCAAAGGATTCACAACAGGTATACCCCTCATGAATGCAATGATTGTGATAAAACTTCTGTAAGAAGTCAGTACTCACTGCACATCAGAGAACTCACACAGGAGAGAGACCTTATGCATGTAAAGAATGTGAGAATTCCTTTTGCCATCAGTCAGCCCTTGCTGTACATTAGAGAACTCACACAAGAGACAAACCTTACAGATATAATGAATGTGGGAAATCCTTCTGTGTGAAGCCAGAGCTCACTATACATCTGAGGTGTCACACAGGAGGGAAACCCTATGTGTGTGAAGAATGTGGGAAAACTTTCTACCAGAAGTCAAAACTCACTGTACACCTGAGAACTCACACAGATGAAAAACCTTATAAATGTGACAAATGTCAGAGAACCTCTGGTGAGAAGTCAACCCTCGATAGACGTCAGAGAACTCACGCAGGGGAGAAACCCTATGGATGTAAAGAATGCAGGAAGACTGTCCATCAGAGGTCAGCCCTCACTGTACATCAGAGAACTCAACAGGAGAGAAACCCTATGAATGTGATGATTGTGAGAAAACCTTTTGCCAGAAGTCACACCTCAGCAAACATCAGAGAACTCACACAGGGGAGAAATCACGTGTGGCTGAGACTGGCTTTATGTTTGCCCAAACTCACTATCTTTTTCTTTTGGGGACACAGCCTGCATTTCTCAGCCTTCCTTTACTGTGGGTGGGGCCATGTAACTGAACTCTGGACAGGAGAATTTGAACATATTTATCAACATTACTTCCAGGCCAGGCCACAAAAAAATTTCCATGCATTCCTGCTGATTATTTTTTATGCCCTGTGGTCTTGTAACGCAAATTACCCCCAGGTTCGCCTTGGGAGCCACACAGTGCAGATGGCAACTGGACTTAAGACAGAAAGGACTGATAATGGAGGGTGGAGATTTCCCCAACTCTACCAGAAAGTTCTATTTGTGTTTTACCTGAGTGAGGAATATTCACTGTTGGGCCCTTACAACACTACTAGTCCATTGTGGCCAGTTCATTTTATGAATTTGGGATAGACTGTGGGAAGAAATTACCAGTCCTTGTGTGGAAAATTCACACAGGATGGAACCTGTGTTGTCATCCTTCTCCCCCAGTCATTTGACGGAAAAATGAAATCATTGGAAGAGACAAAGAATGCAACAAATGTAGGAATGCCTTTATCAGGCAGAGACAAATCTTGAAACACTGAGAATAAAATAAAGCCTTACAAATATCTTAAGTTTGTCAGAGTTTTCAATAAATCTTGCCGCTTATACACATATCAGAGAATTTCTAATGAAAACTATCAGCCTAGGTGATGTGGATGAAGATTTTCAGATAGAAATAATAAATATTGTACTGAAAAAATTTTAAGACTGTAGCCCGGGGGTTCTAGTGGGGGTGGTTATGCCTCCAAGGGGACGCTCGGCAGTGCTGCTCCCGGCACCAGCACAGTGCCACTTCTGGTTCTCCTACTCAGAGCAGTCCCAGGGCCCGTGAAGGGTCCAGGAAGTGGAGAAGTAGTCTACCTCTGATGAAAACGTTGCAAGGGCACATTGCAGATGAGTCTGTGAGATGTGACACGTTACTGTGGTCATCTTTGGAAGATACAGTATGGTATTGTCCACTTTATGGCCACAGTTCACATAGCTTCCATGTGCAAACTACTCATAGCCTGTCTCCCCAAAATCTCATTTTATAATGCTGTTGGCTAAAAATACAGGATCTTGTCATGTGTATCAGGTGTAGGTTCACATAGGCTCATTGAGCACAGTTCCATGTGAATGGTTGCTCTTAACCTGAAGGTGTGTGACTTGAAGTGACCAGTTACCTGTCCTGCAAACACTCAACTGGTAGTGGTAGCACAGAGATCCATTCAAAGGGGAGGGGATTGGGAGGCATCACTGGCTAAACCTAGCAGGACACGCTGTCAGTTCCTTGATGAGGGTGCAGTGGTTCAGGGAATGATCTCCAGGGCTTTCGATTTTGCGCTCTTTGAGTCATCTTCCGTTTTTCATGAGACGTAGCCTGATTTTGTAATAACTGGTTGCTTCTGTCCTGCTTCCCAGAGGGCTTTTTTAAAATTTGAATTTTTTAAACCTCTTATTTCAAAGTGATTTACTGTGGTATGTCAAATTATAATCCATTAGATAAAAACCACACCCACATTTCCTCTGGAACACATTTCCTTCCTCCATCTTCAACTGATATTGTGGGGACGTGCCCCTAAGATTTGTGAAAGCCCTATTTATCATCTGTTTGTGAGGATTTACAAGGCACACCCTTTAGAGTCTCAGGAAAGGGTCTTACAGCAATACCTTTAGTCTGAGACTTACAGTGAGGCTACATTGTACTGGTAGATACTGATTTTGATCTTCAACCTGAAGTCATTTTATGCTGGAGAAGCCAGAAAGGAGGACCAATTTTACTGTTAAACCTAACATAAGTCCTGGCTCCTTTGTGTTTTGTCTAGATCATTCTCTGGAGCAGAACGATTTCTCTCTTTAAGCTCATCTCTCTCCCCTGATACCTTGTGGTGTGTGACTGCCAGCTACGAAGGTTTTGTCTCAGCTAGAAAACCACCTCAGTTGCTCTGCTTGGTGATGCTGGGCTACACTTCTTTCCCAGTCGACACAACCTTTGGCTTTCCCAGAAAGGGGCCTGGAGGGAGATTGTGAGGCAGAGCAGGAGGCATGGTTCTCTTCCTTCTTTGGCAGATGTCCAGGTGGTTGTGAGCAGGGCATGGGGAGGTGGCGCAGGGGTGAGGTGGGGTGACACTGGCATTGCTCTCATCACTGGCCCTCGTTCCTCAGTGGTGGCTTGCACCTTCTGGCACCTTTCTTTGCAGCTGTGCTGGCAGCAACTGTCACATGTCCTTGACCAGAGGCCTCCACCCAGTGTCTTGATACCGGAGAAGCAGGAACCACCATCCTGGGGCAGCCCTTCTCCTCAGGTCTGAATTTCAGCCCTCCCAGGACCTACTCGTTGTACACTCTCCCTCAGCTGTTGGGGTCCGAGCCATTTACTGCAGTTGCTGCCTCTGCACACCTCGGAGTTCTTCTTTCTGCCTTTGATAGTAACTACTCCTAGTTCACCCTTTCTGTTAGCTTGCTGAGGAGGTTTCCGTGCCACCACTCGGGTACGCAGTGGGTAAAAGACACATTTGGTATTTTCAACCTCTATCTGGAAACCTTTGTGCCAAATTCCACATTAGGATAGTTACCGAAGTTTTCACTGCCACATAACACAGGACATTGTCCACACAAGCCTCCAATTTCCTAACTGTCCTCAGGTTCCCGTTAAAGATCTCCTGAGGCCCCTCTCCTTTCACCTGCTACCTGGTTTGAAAGTCAGAACACATGCTTAGGATTTGCTAAGGCATCATTCATTGATAGCTACCGAATTCTCTTTGAATCATCTGTTGCTGTGAAGTAAACCAACTACAGAAATCAGCATCTTAAAACAACGACTTACCTCCCAAAGTTCTGTAGTTTGAGTGGGTTCAGGTAGTCTGCTCTTATCAGTGTCTTTAATGCAGCTACATTCAGCTGTTGTCCAGGTCTGTGGTGAGATGCAGACCCAACTGGATGGATGAGCTGGGTGTCCGGTGGACAGCACTGGAGCTTTCAGCTGAGGGCTCAGCAGAGGCTGTCACCATGAGCAGGAGAAGAATGTGGGCTTTGTACGGCACAGCTGGGAACTCCAAGAGTCAGAAAGTGGAAGCAGTCCGGCTGTCGTAGGCCATGTCTGGAACAGGCACAGTGACACTGACACCATGTCCTAGTGGTGGAGAAGCCACGTGGTGCACTGAGTTTCAGGGGATAGAGAAATGGACTCCATCTCTTCATGGGGAGTGGCAGGGTTGCATACTGGGCAGTATGGAGGATGGGCAGTATTGTGCCCGTCACTGGAAAACAGAGTCCGCACACTCATTAAATGCCCCACTTGAAATAGCAGCAAAGTGCAAAATACCGAGGAACAAACCTGACCAAAAAATCGTAAAGCTTCAATGTCAAGTGCGTGCTCTCAAGAAGAAAAACAAGTAGTAGCCAGACATCTGGCGGCCTGTAGACTTCCTGGAGTGAGGCTTGAGCCCACGCCCTGCAGGGGCCGTCTCTTCCCCCAGTGCTGACCCTTTCCTCCGCCTCACCCACTTCTGCCCTGCGCTCAGCCTGCGATTCCACAGGCGCTCTTGTCACACTGGGAAACTGGAGGCTTCTTCCTCCTAGTTTCCTTCTTTTGTTTCTGATACCTTCTCTCCCACCACCTTCCTCCCCTGTCCCTCAGTTTCAGCGTCCTTCTCAGTTTACCTTGTGTTTGTGCCAAGAGTTGCTAAATTTCTCCGTGTCTCTCCTGAGTCAGAGCTGAGCTCATTCCTGGCATGCCATACCTGTTTGGGTCTTCTGGGATGTTTCTCAGATGACGAATTTTGCTGTTGTGGGGTATAGTAGATTAGGTGTAATGGCTCACGTAACATCCAACCAGTCCAACCCTGTGGTAGCTGGTCTTCCCTCATTAAATAGGCTTGAAAGCCAACAGCTCTTTCCGAGATTTGGAAGGCTGCATAGTGGCCCCTAGAGATACCAGACCTCGATCCCTGGTAACTGTGAATGTTTCCTTAAACGGAAAGAGTTATGAAGATTAAATTAAGGATTTCAAGATGAGATTATTTTGGATTGTCCAAGTGGGTTCTCAGTGGAATCACAAGTATTCTTACAAGTGAGGGGCAGAGGGAAAGTTGACGCCTATAGAAGAAAAGACATTTGTGAGACCCCAAGGGAAAGGTTACAAACGGATGTGGCCACAAGAATGCCAGCAGGGGCTGGAAAGGATACATGTTCCTCTAGAGTCTCTGCAGGGGACACGGCCCTCCTGACACTTTGGTTTCAGCCCAGTGTCACTGATCTTGAACTTTTGTCTTTCAGATGTGAGAGGATACATTTCTGTTGTTTTAAATCATTATGTTTACAGTAATTTCTTACAACAGAAATAGGAAACCAGACTCCCTCACAGCTGAAACCATGTATGTGACTCAGGCTCCATCAGGCAAATGTATCCAACACACTGAGTGTAGCAGTCAATGGACCACTCAGATCTGCTGGGAAGCAGGGCAGAAGTGCTCCTGACTCTCCTGGTGGTGATGTTGGCTCTGCTGGGTGATTGTGTTGGGCTTGCTAGCTCCTTAATTCTGGCTGGGGCATTAAGGCAGGTGTCAATTCTGGGGGGCTGGAGTCCCTACATTTGTCTTTTACTTGTTCAGAGTAGGGGTTATGTTGTCTTCCTTGGTTTTCCTATTGTCTTCATTTTGTATTTCCCCAAAGCACAGATGAGACATGAGCTTGTGTAAGCAGTTTATTTGGGAAGTGGTTGAAAAAAGCAAGAGTGAGGGAGTGGGGAAAATGACATAAGAGGGGAGGAAAATCCAACAGAGTGTGTGCTACTGAGCTGGTGATGACTGTGAACAAGCTACAGTCCTGGTGGACACTGTAAGGAGCTGGGTCATGTGCATCTCAATGACTAGGCATGGGAAGCCAGGACCTTTCTTCATGGCTTAACCATTGGCCATTATCTCCCTGATGCTGTTTTAACTCTGTTGCCTTGCGTGAGGTTGGTGAGTCCTGACCCAGATCAAGAGACAGAATCCAGAAGGAGTTTTAAGTTTAGTTACGATTTCCTGGGAAGAAATGGCACACCATGCAGGGCACTCAGTGGTAGACAGAGGAGAGGGGGAACTGTGGGCAAGCACCTGTACTGTGGATTCAGCAAGAAGGAAGGTGATCAACACAGCAAGCAGGCTTAGGATTGACTAATGTGAATGTGTTCAGTGGGCTTTGGGACATTGGGGCTGTCCCTGATTGTTCTGGTACCTGGCCCTGGGGCAATTAGGGCAGGTATACAGGAGTGCAGAGTGTGAGGGTACAACTCAGCAGGTGCTTGGGAATGTGGACTTAATTGGCTGCTTAAGAGGATAAAATCTAGCTAGGGCCACAAAATTGAGTACAGACTGAGCTCGATTATTTGGGCTATTTGAGTGGCTTGAATAAATGAGGAGACTTATAGAGTATAGGTCATACATTGCCCTAACCAGCATAGAAAATATTTTATCATGAGAGTAAAAAGGAGGAATACAAGTAGAAGTATAAAGAGTCCATGTAGGCTGGCCTATAACTAAGTCTCCAATTTATATGCATTAGCCAAGAAAACAGATCTGAGATTCCCAGGGTTTCTAACAATATCTTGGTAGAATTGTAAAATGTGTTACAATTGTGAGTTATATATTTGACAATATCTTGGTTTATTTTTCAGGTCAGTGTGGCAGGTCTGGCCACTATGGTTTTAGACAGACTAATAGCTTAGTGAAATCACTGTAAAGATGTGTGGTATTTGGGTGTAACTAGTTGGAAGGTGTGGTCATGGTGTTTATGGTGGGAGACTCAGGTGGGAGTTAGTGGTGGAAAGCTAGAGCTGGGAGTGGGAGAGGCACTGGGGAGTGTGTTGTCCTTTCCCTGGCAGGCTGAGGAATTGACAGATCTGTGGCAGTTGCCTCCTGGGGAAGGCCATAGTCTTCACTGATTTGTAGGATGGTACAGACAGTGGTGACCTCTACCAGAATTCCCTTTAGGCATAGAATTATAGGGATATATGCTTTTGCAGATGGCAAGGCATATATTTGGACCATGGGATAAGCAGACAGGGAGCTCAAAAAACATAATAGAATTGCTAGTGTCAAAGGAAGAAAAGCAATAAATATCCTGTGTCCAGTTTGCCAGCAACTTACGAGAGGCAAGTCTTGGGCATCCCTGGAGCAGAGGTTTTAGTGTCCAGGACAGAGTTGTCTCCAGCTTAGGGAGTGATGTCGTCTCCAACGCTGAGCTCCTGGATAGAGCAATATTGTCCAGAATGTGAGACTGGGTATCTTTTCCAAGTGGACACCCACTCAGGGTGGTGTGAGTCTTTTTTTTGTGACTCTTTGGCATTATAACGATGCTGAACAACTTGTCTCATTTGAAGGCAAAATTGGGCCTAGGAGCTTGACTTGCAAATACCTTTTAAGGGGCCGTGGATGCACAGCTAGGCAAGGTGATGTTGGCGTCTGTGATACTGTCAGCATGAACCGAAGTGCCAGAACCCAGCTGGCACAGTTGAAGGCTCAAATAAAGGTGGCCAAATCTAAGGGTTTTTAACGCTCCAAGGTTTTTCCCAGGTGGGTGATGAGGGGGGTTCTGTTGCAAATAGGTTTAAATCATATGGTCCGATTTGAGAGTATGTTGTTAACAGGGTGTGAAGTTGTTTGACAATTAAAATGTCTGTGGCTGATGGAACTCTGGCATTACCTTCAACAGGATGTCTTGTTTGGCCAATCACTAGGTCCCTTTGCCTCAGTTGTTGGTTTGGACAGTGACAAGCAATCCTGCAGTCTTTGGGTTGTGAAGCCTGTGTTAGTCAAAAGTGATGGCACGCAGACCTCCGCATTCACCACGCTCCTCCTTGGGAGGTCTGGACTCTGGTTTGCAAACCAGTGAAGACACCAAGATGACTAGCGAGGAGACCAGCACTCACCAGGATAGCACACGGCTCCCTTGACTGGCTTCTGTCACTTAGCGTAGATATTCCCCTAGCATGTATCACCAACAAGAAGAGGTTCTCTGGTTTTACCCTTATGGGCTACGGTGTTGAATTTATTGCATCCAAATTTGAACTGCATTTACTAAGTGGAGTTTTCTGTTTATCTTTTTGGTAGTCCACACTGCCTGTGAGAGTGGTCCTGGAGTACATGGAGATGTCACCCAATTTGTAACCGAGCACGTGGGCTTGTTTCCTGCTACACAATGGAAAAGACCAAATACTGAAGCAACAGTCTTCTGCAGAAAGAAAGTCTTTATTGCAGGGCTGCCAAACAAGGCGACAAGAGGTGAAGTGGCACATTTAATTTGGAAGGAGGGAGCAAGAGGGGCAGGGGGCTCAGGAATGACTGGTGGAAAGTAAGTGTAAATTTCAAAGGAAGTATCCAGAGTTCTGCCCAGGTGCTACTGCTCTGCTCCTCACGCCTCTTTGTGGATTGCACGTGCAAATTCAGGGGGTTCAGTATGTAACAGGAGGTGGATTTTTAGCCTGTGACATCTAAAGTTCATTCTCAGTCATTCTAGTCCCTCAGCATGCCTGTACATCAGCAAGTTGTTTCCGTATTTTCAGTTTCCCTGGTCCTCTGGACAACAAGCTTGGTGTTCCTGGTGTGTCTTTTTGTTTCTGCCATATGGACCTTGCAAGTTACAGGGTATGGTTTCATAAGGGGCCTTGAATTAAGAGGTTAAGGCCTAGGACAAGACAGACCCATCTAGGGGTCCATTTGCTGGAGTGGAATTTGAAAAATTGTTTGAGGAGAACATTACATCTCTCAGTTAAGCTGGCTATCAAGACCTGTCAGGGAGGTAAGAGTGCTACTGAAGGCCTTTCAACAGAGTATAGCATTGTGTATTCTGAAGAGTGAACCATGTGCCTTGGTTAGTATCAGCAATGACTGCAACTCCACAGGTGATGAGGGTAGGGATAAATCAGGTCTGGACTTGCTGTCCCTGCACACAATGCTTTGGCCAAAACTGCCATCTGCAGACTTCAGAATTCCTATCCACCATCATGGTCTTCCACACAGCATTGCTTCTGATCAAAGAGCTCCCTTAACAAGCAGAAAAGCGCTGCAGTGGGCCCAAGCTCTCAAGGAATTCACTGGTCCTACTAGGCTCCCACCATCCTGAAGCAGATGGAATCGTGGAATGATCTCTGGAAGACTTGGTTACAAAGTCAACTGGGTGGCAATACCTTGCAGGCTGGAGCAGGGCTCTCCAGAAGGCTGTGTATGCCCCGAATCAGTGTCTAACACACAGCACTGTCTCCCATGGCCAGCACTCAAAGGGCCCAAATCATGGGATAGAAATTGGAATGTTAACACTCACTGTGATCTGCCCTAGTGTGAACACGTCCTAGTGATCTGCTGGCAAAATGTTTGCTTCCTGCTCCCACAACTGTATATTCTGCTGGCCTAGAGGTCTTAGTCCCAGAGGAAGGAATGCTTCCACTGGGAGATACAATAATGATTCCATTGAGCTGCAAGTTAAGACTGCTGCCCAGCCACTTTGGGCTTCTCATGCCTGTGACTCAACAGCCAGAGAAGGAAGTTAGTGCTGGCTGTCCCCTACCAGGGGACCTGGACTGCTTCCCCACAGTGGAGGCAAGGAAAGTAAGTCTGTGATGCAGGAGGCACCTCAGGGCTTCTTTCAGTATTACCATGCCCTGTGATTAGTGTCAGTGAAAACTGTACCAACCCAACCCAGGCAAAAGTACCAACGGCCCAGATCCTGCAGGAATGGTTTGGGTCACCCCACCAGGTAAAAAGCTGAGCTGCTTGAGAAGGCAAAGGGGACACAAATGGGTGGTGGGAGAAGGTGAAGGTAGTTACAAATACCAGTTACAGAAATGGATATATAGACACAAATGATGACTGTTGGGGCTTCCATCTACCCCACTGGGTCACTTTTCCACCTGGATGGGGTAGCCTTTCAAGAGAAGGCGTCTCTTTGACTCTTTTAGAGTCACTGTCTTTTGACCCAAGAGCGGACTTGTGCTCCCACCGCTGTCCTTGCTGGGGCTGGTGCACTCCAGGGGATGTGTGATATGCCATGTGCACACGGCAGTCCTAGGTGACTGACTCCCAGCACACTGAGGATTTCTAACATATTATGTTCTTGTAACAAGTGTCTCAGGTGTAGATTTTGTGCCCGTGAAGGCACAAACTTCATTTAGACTCCCAATTACATTTCTTTTTCTCAGCTAATCAGTGGGGACTGTGGGCAGCACCTTGGTCCTCATTATTGGGGTTTCTGGGGTTCTGTGTGGTCCAACCCTGAATAAAGAATGGAAGAAACAATCACAGGGTGGGCTTGCAGAACTCCTGGGCCAGTCCCGCATCCCTCTGCCTGGGGACCAGGACATGTCAGGTCCTAGAAATGAGCAGATCAGGATGTGAGGTTAGGGAAGCATTTATTGAGTGCCTGCTATGGGACTCTGGCTGGCGCTAGGAGTCGGAGTGTAGCCAAGGCTTCACCCAGTCTCAGGGACCAGGGGTCTTAGACGGATAACCCCACCATCCCCACCCAGCACAGACTCAGCTGAGGCAGCTGTACTGAAATAATGCCTTTATTTCCTGGAGCCCAGGGTGTAAGACCAGTGCAAGGTGGGTCCTCCTTGCCTAGGAGGGCATCAGGCCCTGCTTGGTTGGCAGTTCTGGGTCCTTCTCCTCACTGACTCCAAGGGGCTTGGGATTGGCCTGCAGGAGGTCAGGGTCTGAAGTGGGAGTCTCCTCACATCCCTGTACCCATTCCTCCATGGGTCCTGCCCCTTCCCACCCCACCACTGCCACTCTCTACACCTTTGCCTTTGCTGTGTCCCTGCAGGAATGCCCTTCCCCGAAAGAGACCATCTTCTGAGGACCCTGCAGACCCCCTCCTTGCTTTCCCACCCCCAGCTCCCTTCATGAGCTGTCTCTGCTCCCTGCACCCAATTCCAAGGCTCACAGCTTCTCCTGGGCCAGTCCCTTCCTCTTGCTTGCTCTGGCCTTGAGCAGGGACCTGCACCTCAAGTTTTTCCAGCTCCTCCTTCAGCCTGGACAGACAGGGGTGGGGTAGGAGGGTGGGGAGGAAGAAGTGTAGGATTGTGAAGAGACCAAGAGGCAGAGGCTGGAAAGGAGCAAAGATTCCCTCAGCCACCTTCCCCTTGGGGACTGGGGGGAGGGGCTCCGTGCCCACCTCTGCCTCTTCTGCTGCAGCTGCTGGCACTTCTGTTGCAGCTGCTCCTGGCGCTGGGCAGCAGCCTCCAGGAGCTCCTGTGCTTTCCTGTTCTCCTCCTCAAACAGATGCCTGTGGGTGGGGCCATCAGTGCTGGCAGCCCCCTCCTCCACCCCACTCCCCACTCCCCACCCCTGCCTTACACCACAGTGGCTGCCTCCTGACTGCGGAGGAAGAGTCCCTCAGTGATTGCGGAGCAGCCGGTGGCTCCAAACTGGGAGCACAGACGATGCTTCACATCCTCCAGCTTTGCCTCCACCAGCTTCTCTGCAGCAGGAAGAGACAGACAGATGGGCAGGGCAGGGCTGGGCAGGGCAGGGCAACCCCATTTGCCAGGCCTCACCTTCCTTGAGCAACTGCTCCTTGCTGCTGTCTAAGGCACCAATCTCCAGGGCCAGCCGCTCTGGCTTCTGAAGGGTAGAAAGGAGGCCTGTTCACATATCCTGGCTTCCTCCCATGTGCCTCAGAGAAGTCGATCTGGATCTGGTCTTTACTCAGCACACCTCGTTTCCTACTGCTCTGGCCCTCTGTGTTTGCTAGGCATGGTCCAGCCTTGAGGCCTTTGCATTTGCCATTCCCTCTGCCTGAACTGCTTCCCCTCAGATACCTGTGGTGCAGTGCTGGAGTGGCTCATGAGCTGGTTAAGTTCAGCAATTCTGCAAGGTTTGAGGTCAGCCCTCGGGTGAGTATGTACTACAGGGGATCCTGCAAACAGTACAAATTGAGACTGTTCTCTGGAGAGTCAGTTACCTGCCCAGCACTGCAGCTCCTCCTCTTTCCTCTGTGACCTCCTCACTGAGGCCTTCCATCCTGACATTCACTCTGTCTTCTTGTTTGGGATTCTCGGGTGGCAAACACTGGCCTGCTTGGCTCCCCACTGCCTGCCCTGTGCCTGTGACGGCCCCACACACACCCATGATCTCCCTGATGAATGCACCTTCCTTGGTTCATCAGGGCTCCTCCTGACCACTAAAGGCCTGGGAGGGCATCAGGGATGAGTAGGCAGGACCAGTGAGGAGGATGACCAGGTGGCAGCGAGCGTGATGAGGAACTGGACTGAGCATGATTCTGGTATGTGGCCATCAGGGCTTGCTCAGGAGCTGGCTGTGGCAATTGAGAGGAAGGAGGCCAGGAGGATGACCCTGAGTTATGGGCCTGGTGCTGCCAGGTAAGATGTGGAAGGTGGAAGGAGTGGCTCTGAGTGACTCACATGGAACTCCCAGAGGTCCTTGTGCTGGCCCATCAGATCCTCCAGTTGTTCCTCAAAATCCAACCTGGGGACCAACCACACAGGATGAGGGGCCATGGGCTGAGAGACACCCCTCCCCAAACTGGCCCAGGCCAGGGGTCTTCACGCACAGACCTAGGGGAGCTCTCCCACACTCTCTGCTTTGCTGGGCGCACTTTTTGCCACCTGGACCCTCCAAGCCTCAGCTCAGCCAGCTCCTCTTCTAACCCTCATTCCTAGTATTACCCTCTTACAACCCAGCCCAGCCCACCAGGCCTTGGGCAGTGGCCTTTACCTCAGCTGCCTCTGTTTGTTCTTTTCTTCCTCAATCTGAGAGTTCAGGGCAGAAATTCGATCTTTGCACTCCTGCAGCATGGTCTGCTTCCTGGCAAGAGGCAAGGTAGCTCTTCATGTTTTCTGAATGTCTCCCTAGGAGGCAGCTGGGGTAGGGCTTCTGCCTTCTTCTACTGAAGTCTGTTCTAGCCTTCTAGATTTGAAGTCCTTCTCTGTAACTGTGTGTGTGTGTGTGGGGTGGGGTCGGGGGCATAAGAACACGCCCCTGAAAATATCACTGTGAAGCTTAGGGAGATCAGTGTGGGGATGGTCAAATGCACAGTTAATCTCATGGATTTCTCAAAGTTTCAATCTTGGGGCCTCTGGTCACAAAAGGAGTAGAATAAGCATTTGGGAGGTAGAGAGATGGATGCACAAACAGCTGGGTGGATGGAAGGATGATGGATGAATGGAGAGACTAGGAGGACAGATGGTTGGCTTGATGCCTCAATAAAGGGACAGATGGACAGATGCGTGAACAGATAGCCAACACGCCTGTGGAAAGTATAAAAGGCACAGAATAAAAACCAGCTGAAGGAATTTAACTGATGTTCAGGCAAATGAATGGTGATCCCATTGAGTGAGAGAGTACTGTTAGAGCAAAGTGGGAAGACACCCACTTTACAAAGGGAGAGGATGAGAGCTGTGGGTCTGAGACCGATTCCCGTCACTTTCTTTACCAGAATGAAGGGGCAGCGTGGAGCAGGCCCAGGTGGCAGCTCTTACCTCTGTGCCTCAGCTTCCTTCTCCTGGCAGTGGAGCCGGAGGGTCCTCAGGGTCTCTGCAGGGGGAGGAAGTGAGGGTGCCACAGAGCCCATCAAGGCGCAAGGCTTGCGCAGAGGTAAATGGGCCGGATCACGTGGGGTCCTGTGGACAGCTGATGGGACATGTACTGCATGGCTGGTGGAAGCCACACGAGGGATGCCAAGGAGATTCAGGTTTCAAAGGCTTCCACTGCTACTGAGAGTGGGCTTCTGCAGGGTGGCAAAGGCAGAACCCTAGAGATAGAGTAGCTGCAATTACCTTGCTTTTTGCTCAAGATCTCTTTCAGGTGCACTTTCTCTCCATTCACTGGAAAACACGATAACAGTCAGGCATCAGGAACCACGCACTGCACCCTCAGGGACTGGGCTTGCCCAGTCACATGGGCAGTTTGGTAAAGCCATACCCCTAACCTCAAACGTGGGCCCTCCCCTCTTGCGCACTCCCTGTAAGCACCAAAGTGCCCAGAAGTTGATAAAGGATGTTTGTGAGGACCCTGTGGAATGCCAGTACGTTTACATGGAGGGGAGAGAAAAAATAAAGACATCACATGAAGTGGGATAAGGGCTGTGAAAAACACATCAAGCAGTAAGGGCCATGTGACTAGGTGCAGGCAGGGTGCTGTTGGTCACTGGGGAAGGCTTCTCTGAGGAGGCGACATCTGAGCTGACAGCTGAATGATGATGTGAAGCAGCAGGAATCTGTATTATCTGGGGAACCTGGCTAGCAAAGGACCTGAGGTAGGAGTAAGCTTGGAGGGTGTTTCAGGAACACTCACCCACAGAGTGGGAGTGGGGATATGGGTAGGACCTGAGGTCAGGGAGGGGGCAGGAGCCTTTGGCCACACAAGGATGCTGACTGTCTGCAACACAGGGTTCAGGGAGGCATGACATTAAGGGGATCTCTGGGTGACCCCTGACAAGCTTACATGAGTCCAGTTCCTTCTGCAGGGCCTCCCAGACAGTCCGGGCCTCCCCCAGCTCCTCACTGGCTTTCTTTTTTGCTGTGCCAAAGAGCAGGACATTGTGTAAGTGTCTGTTCTTGCAAACATTTAACATTTGTCTTCACGCAAACCTAGAGGGGCCCAGATTTTACAGAGCAGGAAATGAGGCTTCCAGGGCCTAAGCCCTTCTCTTGGGGCTCAGCTAGCAGCAGTGACTATGGCAGCTGTACTGAGCTGGAGCCATGCCTGGCTTATTGCTCTGCTGTTTCAAAATACTTAGTAATTTTCAGCAAGGGGCCCTGGATTTTCATTTTGCACTGGGCCCTGCAAATCATGTAACTGATCCTGGCTGACAAGCCAAAGTCCTGATCTCACCTTGCTGAACCTCATTAATCCGGTTAATCAGGACCTCAACCCTGGGCTCTAGGCTTCCCGCTGCAGGCAGAAAACAAAGTTGAGTGAAGATGAGAGACAGGGCAGAGAGTGGTGGGTGCCCTCCAGGGGCTAACATTCTGGGTAGGGGAGACAGGAACAGATAAACAAAAATACAGAGTCAAGTTGTGGTAACTGCAGTCAAAAGAAATAGTGGGGCAACAGATTAAAAAGTGAAGGAGTGGATGTGCATCTTCAGATATGATGAGACCTCCTGAAGGCCCCAAATCAAGTGAGGTGGGTAGGCCTTGCAGTTCCGTGGTAGGCGTGGGAGACAGTGCAAAGGCATTCCCTGTGGTAGGAACACGTCTGGAAGGTGCCTGGTGAGCAAGCAGAGAGGAGCAGAGCGGAGGTGCAGGGAAGGGAGGAAAAAGTGAAAACCTGGATTCAACAGAGTGCAGTGAGAGCCAAATGGATGGCCATCAAGGGACTGCCTTTATCTCCTTACACTTTAATTTTGAACCATAGGGTCATATTTTTACTTCAAAAAAGTAGAAGTAGGAGAGAGCAAATGAGTTACATCCCAAGGTTGTGAATTGTGGGGCCTGGAATGAATTCCACTTCTGCCTGACCCCAAACCTCAGACTGAGCCTCAGTTACAGAAGAGACATGTGACCTTTCTGTAACTTCTTCACCATTTCCATCAAGTCTTCAATTTTCTGTGAGGACTCAGCCTGCCCTGTGGAGACAAAACCAAACATGTAAGAATCATGCAGGAAAAGCCTGAGGAAGGACCTGACAACTTTGGGCTGGGACTGAGGTGGGCTGAGGGCAAGTCTCCAGGCAGTGTTGCCTTTGCTCCTCCACCTGAGGTAGGCACTACACAAGAGATGAATCGGGGCCCTTCACAGTCAGCTTTTTCCTAAAGGGTATAATGACACCACAGATTTCCCCTTAATAAAACTCAGGGCAAGAAAAGGTGTGCACTCTTACTGCTAGTACTGCTTAAAGCTCAGGATGTAATAATGAAAGAAAAAAAAGGAATGGTATAAAAAACTGGAAACAAGGAGTCAGAAGTCACTGTAACTGGTAGATGGCATAATCAACTAGAAAGTTCTAGAGAATCTTATTAAAAAAAAACTCACCAAGAATACAAAATTTAATAAGATGTCTCATTTAAATATATATAAATACAAATAGCTTTCCTATATAGAATCATTATTCTGAAGGCTCCCAGTAAACTATTTCATATATACTTACTTATAATCAATACAGGCACTTATTTTTAACCCCTTATGAATTAGATCTAGGCAACTAGTATTAATGGCATTAACAACCCAATAAAGATAACTGGACATTATGAGCTATTTGGTGTAAAAATATAATGTAGGATTCTTGTCAAGAAAATGACACTAATACTTGTTAAGCCTCTTAATCTAAATACCAATTCAGAGGAAACATATGGACAGAGGAACACTTCAAAGACACATGGGGATGCAATTAGCAACATCCACACTGGGAAATTTCACAAGAAAAACAACCCAGTTTCTTTCATTTAAATACATTTCAGGGGGAAAGGGAGAAACAAAGACCCTTATAGACAAAAAGAAATTAAAAATACATCAGCCAATCTCAGTAAATGGACTATATTTGAATCTTGATTCAGTCAAATACACTTTTAAATATATTGATGACATAATCAGAGAAATTTGAAAATGGACTAGATAGCGGATGAAACAAAGGAATTATTGTAGCTATAATTCAGATGTGACAATGCTACTGTGGTTACTTTTCTGAAAAGAGTATTTAATTTTTAGAGATATACATGGAAATATTTATACGTTTTTATGCCTGAGATGCTTTGAAATGAAATAGTGGAGTGGGTGGTAGGGAGTGGGTGAGGAAAAGAGGAAACAAGATTGGCCAAGAGCTGATAATTGTTAAAACTGAAAGATGAGTTCATGGGGTAATTATACTTTGTTCTTGAAAATTTTTAAACTGAAGTATAGTTGATTTACAATGTTGTTAGTTTCAGGTGTACAGCAAAGTGATTTAATTATACATACATGTATGTACACATATATACTTTCAGATTATTTTCCATTATAGGTTATTACAAATATCGGATAGAGTTCCCTGCTTACAATAGGACCTTGGTGTTTATCCATTTTATATTTAGTAGTGTGTATCTGTTAATCCCAATCCGAATTTATCCCTCCCTAGCTTTCCCCTTTGGTAACCGTAAGTTTGTTTTCTACATCTGTGAGTCTATTTGTTTTGTAAATAACTTCATTTGTATCATTGTTTTAGATTGTACATACAAGTGATACCATATGGTATTTGTCTTTCTCTGTCTGACTTTCCTCACTTAGTATGATAAACTCTAGGTCCAGCCACGTTGCTGCAAATTGCATTGTTTCATTTTTTATGCCTGAGTAATATTCCATTGTATAAATATACGACCTTCTTTACCCAGTCATCTGTTGATGGACATTTAGGTTGCTTCCATGTCTTGGGTATTGTAAATAGTGCTGCTATGAACATTGGGGTGCATGTATGTTTCTGAATTAGAAAATCAGAAATCAGTTTTTATCTTTTCCAGATATACACTCAGGAGTGGGATTGCTGGGTCATATGGTGAGTCTATTTTAGTTTTTTAAGGAACATCCATACTGTTCTCCATAGTGGATGCACTGATTTTCATCACCACCAACAGAGTAGGAGGGTTTCCTTTTCTCCATACCCTCTCCAGCATTTATTATTTGTAGACTTCTTGATGATGGCCATTTGACTGGTGTGATGTGATACCTCATTGTAATTTTGATTTTCATTTCTCTGGTAATTAGCAATGTTGAGCATCTTTTCATGTTCCTGTATGTTCTTTTGTAAATACTTAAAATTTTCCATAATAAAAAGTTTTTAAAAATCAACCAAGGAGGGAACAGTATAGCTCAGTGTAGAGTGCATATTTAGCACACATGAGGTCCTGGGTTCAATCTGCAGTACCTCCATTAGAAAAAAAATAATAAATAAGAACCAACCAATCAATTAATCAATATAGAGAAGGTAAATAATTATTTCTACAGAAGAACAGAGAAAGGGAGAAAACAGTTAACCAAAAACTACACAAATGGTTAATAAATATTAGAAAAGATGTATGATCTCAGTAATAAAGAGATGAAAATAACATATTATATCTAGCAGGTTGGTAAAGACTAGTAAGTCCAATAATGCCCTGTGTTTATGATGATGTAGAGAAACAGGCCCTCATATACACTGATAGTCGGTGGAAACTGATGCCACCTTTTGTAGGACAATCTGGCTACATCAACATTTTGAAGACATAATTCCACTTCTAGGAATCAATCCATCAGATATATTTGGCTAAATATGCAAAAGGTATGTTAAATGACATTGAAGCAATATTTATGTCAAAAGTGGGAAACAACTTGAATGCCCATCAGTAGAGAACTTATGATTCATGTCCACAATAGAATACTGTGCAACAATTGAAAAGGAGGTAGATTCTTATGTATTAACAATGAAAGAGATCCTAGAAAGATAAAAGTAAAGAAAGTGTGAAACGGTGTAATATAGAATCCTACCTGTCTACAAAAAGAGGTGAAAGATATACCTTGTCAGTCTAAAAATATATGAATCCTATGTCTAAAGAATTTCTGGCCTGAATCACACAAAGGATTTTTCAACAGTAGTTCTGAAGGATAGGACTGGAAGGATAGGTAAGAGAATGTTTACTTTTCATCACATACTTCTGCATATGGCTTTATTTTTAAAGGTTAATAGATTTCCCTGGGTGACTCAAAAATGACATTTACAGTTTCTCTGAGCAACCATTTTTCCAGGTATTATTAATAGACTAGGCAGTGAGCTGTACCTCTGTATTTTTCTATACTGCATGTCGTAAGGTAAGGCACAGAGTGGGAAAGCAGTAAATAACTGTTCAAAGCGCCAACTAAAACACTGTTAATAAAAAAAAAAAATCCAGGGTACTAAACTGCCTGTGTAGTATGAGGCCCCTAATTTTTACTTTTTATTTTTAAATGATTTCAAATTTACTTAAAAGTTGCAGAAATAGGATACACAGTTTCTACATGCCCTTTACCCTGATTTTTCCATCTGATGACATTTCTGAGCCTTGAGAATGAGTTTCAGACACAATGCTTCATTACCCAAAATATATCAGTGTGAAGTTCTAAAGTACAAGGACATTCTCCTTATGTAGTCACCACAGTACAAAAAATTAAAACTGAGAGAATAACAGTGATAGATATTAAGATATGATCCTCAAATGGAACTTTTAAAATGTCCCCTACTTTCACTTTTACATTTTAAAGTTCTGTTAAGTATTAATCACATAGTTCTAGTAGACAAAACAAAATTAAAATTAAAAAATGTCCTTTCACCTCTACATTGCCCTCAGAATTCAAATTCCTTCCTGAAAGTCATCAATTAGGAAGGCAGCTTCCAGACATCTTTCTGTGCAGCCTCCATAGTGCTATAATTATCATTTTTCCATCTTGCCTTCCTTCATAATCTTTTGAAGATCATGCTGTATCTGCATAAATGTATCTAATAATTTAAAAGTTGATGTAGTTAACTGGATTTTAATTCCATTTCTTCCTCATTTTAGAAATCCAGTCTACAGGTATTTCTCAGTGTGCACAGGATTTAGCTATTTCCCCCCCATGTTTTCCTACCCCCATCTAGACTCCAGTGACCACCCAGTCCATGCATCTATGTGTTTTGCGTGATCCTCCAAGATGGTGACCAAAAAGGGGAAAAAAGTAACTTATATGCTAAAATCTGTGCCAGACGGGCTACTGCAAAGCCTTTACCCACTAGTCTTCCTATCCTCTGAGTATACTAAGGGCTGTGTCTCCACAGTACCACTGACACTAGACAGCACCACTGCCCCCTTTTAAAACAAGCTAATGGGCTGAAAATGGGATCTCAATGTCCCTTAATTTCATTGTTACTTGCCATAGAGTGAATGTTTGTGTTCCCCCAAATTTCATTTGTTGAAATCTTAATGTCTGAGGGGATGATATTAGGAGGTGTGGTCCTCATGAATGGGATTATTGCCTTATAAGCAACCCCAGAGAGGTCCCCTGCCCCTTCTGCCCCGTGAGGGCACAGCGGGAAGAGGACATCTAGGAGCCAGGAAGCTGGTCCTCACCTCACACTGAATCTGCTGGTGCCTTTGTTTTGGGCTTCCAACCTCCAGAATTGTGAGAAATAAAACCGACGTTTATAAGCCACCCAGAATCTGGTATTTCATCAGCTTTAAGACACGGGTGAAGCTGGTTAAACCTTCACCTGAATGTTAGTTTATGTGAGGAACTTGAAACTCGGATACTGAGTTTCTTTAGCACAGCGGCGGCCGCAGTAGGTGCTTAAGAAAAGGATCGCTATGCATCTGTCCTGCTTTTCTCTTGTCCCTCACTGAGGTTGTCGCTGGGTGCCACGCCCTAGTCCCAGCAAGCCATCTGTGCCGTTTACCTCACGAACCGCGCACGGAGCACCCGCCTCGTGCCAGAGCGGCCCCGCGGCCGGCAGGTGTGGAGGGCGCGTCCTGGCCTCCTGCTCACGGCAGGCCGGAACGCGGGGCGGGGGCGACAAGGGCAGGTCAACCGGCCGCGGGTTGGCGCCCCGCACAGCCCTCCCCACCCCCGTGCAGCGCGCAGGCGCACGCCCCTCTGGGATGTTTTTCACGCCTCTCCTCTATGCTGGGCTGTAATTTCGAAAAACTTTTAAACTGAAATGAACTGCCACGTCCCCCTCTCCCGGTGAGGTGGACGCCATCACTCAATGGCCGGTGTCAGGACGGAAAAACGTGAGGCCCGGACCCGGGCTCGCGGCACACCGCCGCTGAGAACTGCCCAGGCAGGGACCGTCAGGTGGGAGCCCCGGGGACGGCCCTCGGCTGGGAAGCCTGTGGAGGCGCAGGATCAACTCGGAGGGCTGACCCCTGCCTACGTCGAGCTCCTTCAGCAAACAGCAGGCGGAGCCGCCCAGACCCTTCCAAAGCGGCTGAAAATAATTTTTCCTCACGACCCCCCGGACTCTGAGGAAAAGGCCGCCTGCGCGCGCTTTCTGCCCGCCCAGCCCGTCTACAGCCCGGCCCCCACCGAAGGCCTCCGGGCCCAGCACTACCTCTGGCCTCGTCAGCCCGGCCCATGGCTCCCGCTGACTCCGTGCCGGAAGGCCCCGGCAGGGAGGCCATCTCCTGTCAGTTCGTGGGCTCCAGGCGTCTGGCGCCTCC